GCTCTATAAAAAATAAAGGCCTTGTTGATAAATTCAGCATCATGGAAGGGGGTTTCAAGGGGATATTGACCTCCTAGAATTTTCAATGCTAATAAATCTAAGTGAAAAAAGTGAACAGGGCACCCCTACCCCACTCCCGAAAAAACCCCATAAAAACATAAATGCGTAAAAAACAATACAAACAAGAGGCCCATGGGCCAAAGCGCTCACCTGAGTAACTTTGGCCTTGCTGTTTTTCACCGAATTTCTCTCACCCCCCCCCCCATCCCCTGTAGTACTTATTATGGCCCCGCCCTACCCCAGGGGTCATGATTTGAACAATTTAGAATCTACACTACCCAAGGATGCTTCCACATAAGTTTCAGCCTTTCTTGCCCAGTGGTTCTTGAGGAGAAGATTTTTTCTGCATATTTCAATGTAAAACTTGGATTCCCTATTGAGGCCTCGCCCTACCCCTGGGGGTCATGATTTGAACAATTTAGAATCTACATTACCCCAGAAAGCTTCCACATAAGTTTCAGCTTCTCTGGCCCAGTAGTTCTTGAGAAGAAGATTTTTAAAGATTTCTATATATTTCAATGTAAAACTTGGATTCCCTATTGTGGCCCCGCCCTACCCAGGGGGTCATGATTTGAACAATTTAGAATCTACATTACCCAAAGATGCTTCCACATAAGTTTCAGTCTTTCTGGTCCAGTGGTTCTTGAGAAGAAGATTTTTACTATATATTTCAATGTAAAACTTGGATTCCCTATTGTGGCCCCGCCCTACCCCTGGGGGTCATGATTTGAACAATTTAGAATCTACATTACCCAAAGATGCTTCCACATAAGTTTCAGCTTCTCTGGCCCAGTGGTTCTTGAGAAGAAGATTTTTAAAGATTTTTACTACATATTTCAATGTAAAACTTGGACTCCCTATTGTGGCCCCGCCCTACCCCTGGGGGTCATGATTTGAACAATTTAGAATCTACACTACCCCAGGATGCTTCCATATAAGTTTCAGCCTTTCTGGTCCAGTGGTTCTTGAGAAGAAGATTTTTAAATGAACCATCCAAATTTTTGTATTATCTTGATTATCTCCCTTTTGATAGAGACTTGGCCCTTCATTTTTACAATTTAAACTCCCCTTCACCCAAGGATGCTTTGTACTAAGTTTGGTTAAAATTGGCCCAGTGGTTCTTGAGAAGAAGTCAAAAGTGTAAAAGTTTACAGACGGACGGACAGACGACAGACAACGGGTGATCAGAAAAGCTCACTTGAGCTTTCAGCTCAGGTGAGCTAAAAAGCCCATGGGCCATAATGCTCCCCTGAATCACCTTAGTTAACTTACATGTACTTGGCAAAAAGTTGACAGCATACTATGGCCCCTCCCTAACCTAAAGACATAACCAAACTTAAATACACACATCTTAAGGATGCTTCAACATCAATATGACTGACATGGCTTTGCTATTCTGAAGGAACAGATTTTTAAACTTTTTTTTTACCTATTCCTTCCCATGTAAAACTTTGATCCTATTTTGACAATACCCTTTCCCAGAGGCCATGATGGTTTGTACAGACTTGAATCTGCATTACCTGAGGATGCTTGCTTATTTAACATGTCCCTGCTGTTCTTGAGAGGAATAAATTTCATTCTTTTTTTTCATATATATTCTATCCAAGGGCCAACATTTGAACAAATTTGAATATATACTATCATGACAATATTAGTACACTTTCATATAACTAATATTTTATGGCCCAGTGGTTCTGGAGGAGATTTTTAAATGACTCCATCAATTTTTCCTTTTTCTTAATTCTCTCCCCTTGAAAGAGAAAATGGCCTTTCATTTGTATAAACTTAAATCCCCATTCTCAATAATGCTTTATGGCAAGTTTGACTGAATTTGGTTCAGTAGTTCTGGAAAAGATGAAAAACTAAAAAGTTTATACCTATAACAGCCCTACATTCGACACCATCTGGAAAAGGAAGCAAGGTAGACCACGAACAACGTGGAGAAGAACCATAACATCAGAGCTAGAGGAAATGGGCTACTCGTGGGGACAGGCACAGCATGTGGTGGACAGAGGAAGATGGCGACAGCTTGTTGAAGCCTTATGTCCCATAGGGGATAAAGAAGATAAGTAAGTATATGCCATTGATATTAAAGAACAATGTATGCTGAGCAAGACATTTACATAATCATAAGAATCATCTCATTACTATCATGATATGCATAAACTACAACTAAAGGTATACATGTACATGATGTACAATATATTATTTAAAACAATTTATTGATATATAGATCAGAACAAAAACAGTCAATTTATATGATTTATTTAATAGTGTAATCACTATATAAACAATGTAGGTGTGATTTTACATCATTGTAATCTTACATTGGATGTGATGAAGGAAGAAATACTAAAGAATGTGACTCTCGAATTTCTCACAATTCTTTTATCTGCACATGTATGTAAATGTTTTTATATTTTGTACTTATTTGAAAAAAAAAATCCATCATTACAATATAAGTATATTGATTGTAAATCCATCAATACAGAGGTATACACTTTTAGGTTTCAGGTAATGGTGGTAAACATTCATTTGGCTATTAGAATCATGTAAATAAAAGAAATTGTATGTCAAACATGGTTGCAGAAAAAATGATAATAACCAATACTAAATAAAGCATCTTTCAATAAAAATCTACCAATTTTAAACTTCTCACAACAATTCTCTAATTTCAATTTTCTCCTCCTGATTATTTCATAAAATTTTAAAGTCTGGTTAATATAACTTATATATCAGATTTGTTTTCTCACAACTTTCCTTAGTCCACTGAAAACCAAAATATATAGGATCAATAATTTATAAAGTACATTCTAACAATTTTGCATAAAACTCCTTTACATTTTAGTTTCAAAAAAAGAAACCAAATCTGTAAGAATGAAATTCAGTATTTAGTCTTCGGTGTATGGCTTCAGTATTTGGTATGTGGTGACAGGTACTACCACAAAATTTCCGAGATGAACAAGTAAAACATGATGACACAGTTATTTGATAGTGGTGGTCAGATATCAATTCTCCTTTTTACTGCCACCTCCTCCTGTTGACTCTTCTAATTTTGTTGCTGTGCCATTTTGATGAACTCCATTTTCTGTTGGTTTAGTCTGAATGTTAAAAGAAAACAAAAATAAACCCTGTATCTTGTTCTTTATATACCAGGTCCGGCACAATCTCTTGATTTAGCTATATAACTTTATTAAGCTATTCAGAATAGCTTGATTTAGCTACTTTATCACACGTTTTTCTTAAATGTGTTACATTTGTATTTTCTCACCATGCACAAAAATTCGCACCTTGGTGCAGTGATAATATTCAACCTTGAACTCTTCTAAAAATAGTGTAAGTAAAAATCAGTCATCAAATTGCATCTCCTTGAGAGACTTTGTACTCAAAGTGTTAAAAGTTTTGGGGCTATATAAAGCAACTAATAAAGTGCCATGTTAGAACTATCTTTGATTTTGCTTGTTGTCTTGATAGCACATAGTACATATAAGGGTAGTCAAATACATGCGACTTTGTCTATTTCTTACAAAAAACATTTTTCTGACAAAATGCATGCATATAAATAGCTTTATCAAGCTATTTTGAAAAGCTTAATAAAGCTATAAAGCTAAATCAAGAGATTGTGCTGGACCTGTATACTGATATCTTGTGTTTTTTTTTTTAAATCAGGAAAATAAACTTATGAACTATTACTGTTGCAATAGCTAGAATTGTAGTGTATATATTATAATGTTTAGGTTTCTGCATTTATCAGGTCCAGCACATTATATCTCTTGATTTAGCTATAAAGATTAAATTAGCTATAATATATCTTTATTAAGCTTTTTAGAATAGCTTGGTAAAGCTATTTATATGCAGTTTTGAATAAATATGTTTTTTGTAATAAAAAAATATAGACAAAAAGTGTCAAGTATTTGGCGAATCATATATGTACAGATACACTATGGACTGTTAGAAAAGCAACCGACATCAAAGATAGTTCTAACAAAGCAGCTTTTGAATACTTTTAAACAAAAGATGAATTTCCATTGTTTGGATAACTGTCCACCACTTTATGTGCGTTCGGGCATGGATAAGTAATAGATTGCTTCACATTGTACTGAATTATCTTGTTGATCAAAATTGACCTCCTTTATAATTTCATTCAAGAAGTAACTGTGTGGTCACAAATCAATGCATTATATAGCCCCAAAACTTTTAGAACTTTAAGTAACAAAGTCTCTCAATGCGACACAATTTGAAGAGCGATTTTTACACGTACATGTATTGTTTTAATTCAGAAGAGTTAAAGGTTGAATATTATCACTGCACCAAAATGTGACTTTTTGTACATGTTAAAAAAAATAACATATTTAAGAAAAAAGTGTGATAAAATAGCTAAAATCAAGCTATTCTGAATAGCTTAATAAAGCTATAAAGCTATATTATTTTATACTATATAGCTAAATCAAGATATTGTGCTGAACCTGTTTATAATACCATTGAATGTGCTAATGAAGTTACATAGGTGATTAACATACATTAAAGCCATATTAGAATGAAATCAAACAAACAAACATGTATGATAAAGAGCTAGGTTATTCAGTATAAACACAAACAAAACGATGTAAAGAGGTAAAGTACAGTTGACACTGCTAATTACCGGATCTGTTTTTATGCAGCCCTTTTCATCCTTGATGCTCGATGTTTTACTCCATGGCCAAAAAGTTGAGATGAGGGGTTGAATAAATTTGTGGAAGACCCACAGAAGTACAGGAATTACAATACAGGGTATACACACCATTGCTCTGAAAGTTGACACAATACCGGAAACGATCAATTGTCTCGGGCTCGGTATACAGTATTTTTTTCATTGACGCGTTTCGTCTTCCGGTTTTACTTTCGACACATCACAGGGATAAAAATGTGACAAATGATACAAAATATAGGTTGAAAAAATATTTCTTATTGAATTTTGCAATAATATGATCAAATTTACAGAGTTTCTGTCATGATACAGGCATAGTCGATGTGTTATGAATTCAAGAAAGTCGAGACAGAATGCTAACAACAAACCTTACAGCTACCAACAGTTAGGTGCAGAGGTTCAAAACTCGAAAAAGTCAAAAGTTTATGTGTTTGGTGATGCAGATGTCCATGAAGATGAGATTGTTGAATTTGAAATGTCTGATGTGCGATCGCGCAAAGGGGGGCCAAAGACCATTGCTAAAGAGGACGATGAACAGCTTTATTATGAGAGAGAAATTACTGAAGGCGACACATTACGCAGTCTTTCATTACAGTATGGATGTCCGGTATGTACTCTGTTCTCTTTACTATATTTTTATGTCATATTGTCTACATGATTATTAATGGGTTTACATTTTTTTTAAGCTTGTAAATGTGTCGTAAATTCGTAATTACTTAAAGCTGCAGACTGCAGTGATCTGTTTATGTGAAAAAGTCATGACTGCTTATTAAGATTTTGGCTAGATGGGAGTGCATCACTCGTTCAAGAATTCTGACATTCTGATTCATTGCTGGAGTCTCATAACACATTGATTTCGTGCTTTGACAGTCTACAGCATTTTATTGAAATTCTGTAAACCAATTATTATTTGCGACATATTTTATTCATGATTCCTAAGTTTGAAATCCATCTTCGATATTTTATTTTTGTGACTGAGAAGAGGTTCTTCACAAAACAATATAAACAATATAAAAAGTAATGATTTGTGGCTAGAATTATACGCAAGTATTATACTGTGGAATCATTTTAATTCATGGTGGTCAGTGTTTGTCTGCAATCAAAATTTTACTGATTTTGTGGGGACATAATTTCATTGGGAATTTGTATATACCCCAGGGGTGTGCAATTACCGACGCCCGGGGCTACCAATTTTAGAGGTCGGGCTATCATAAATCTATACTGCGTTAGCCCGTCGGGCTAGTAAATCTAAAACGAAAGTATACATATATTTACGTCGACTGAATTGATGTACGAATTAACTTTGTTGTAAAATCATAATCTTTAATTCGTTTTAACCTATATGTATTGTGTGTTGCTATCGCCAGTCGTTTCAGTGACAGTTATAGTCAATAAAAATAGGGAGAAGTACCTGACAATAACAAAGCGCAAACCATTATTTGTTTTATTTATTTCAACTTAAATGTTTTTTTTTACCTTTTTGTTATACATGTATTGTTTTCGATACTTAATGGGCTAGTGACTGGCAACCTCGGGCTAGTAACTTTGTTACTGCCACTAGCCCAACGGGCTATTAACTAATTTTTGTAATTGCACACCCCTGTACCCTGTACTGAAGATTCAATGAACCAATACATTAGCAAAGTTAACGTTCATGGGGATGTAAATTCATAGGTAAGGCTGACCTACATGTACGTACACATTGTTCCCCCATTAACAGTGATGATTCCACTGTATTTAGCTTTACAAGTCATAGATATAAAACTTTAACTTTTACTAGTTCATTTAAATTTTCTTAGAATATATAAAATATGTACATTTCTCTTATAGGTGGCTGAAATCAAGAGAATTAATAACATGATTCAGGATCAAGAGTTTTATGCTTTCAAAAAGATAAAAGTGCCAATTAAAAAGTATTCATTTCTGACAGAAACACTTAAAACAAAGACAGAGTCAGAAAAGCCTCAGTTCAATGGATTAACAGTTGTGGATGAAACTGACACAGAGCATACCTGTAATGAGTCGGACTCTGAGTCTACATGTAATATGAGTGACCCAGACACTCAGAGGTTGTTAATAAAAAAATCTCTCAGCATCAGAAGCCAGACTAGCAACCAGTCGAAAGATGCCAGGAGATTTCTGCGCAGCATGGATAAAGACTTGGCAAAAATCTGTAAATCAGCAAAAACAAATCACAAGTCATTGGATGAAGTTGTCTCTCTTTTGACCAATAGATCAATTCAGCCCATTCCTCCACCCAGAAGGAAGTTTTTCGGTGCAGACTGTGGTATCACATGGTGTTCAATGATAATTGTCATGGTCATACTTGTTATTTTGATACCTTTAGGAATCTTAACTTATTTATGGTTCACAGGCCACTTTAATTCTACGAATCAGAATGAAGGATGATGAAGAGGGGCTTTAGAGATTAAACTTAAGACATATCATTTAGTTGAAAAAGTAAAGCAATTACAAGCACCTATTAAATGTTTGTGAAAGTGGGGCTTATAATATTTATAAAGATATACATGTATGTTTAGGTGCATATCAATCAACTTGCAAGACACTGATAATAATTTTCAAAATCTATAATTTTGAGCGGTAACAAATTGTACATTATAGGTATCCAGCCTGTATGACTTTTTAGTTCACCTGAGCTGAAAGCTCAAGTGAGCTTTTCTAATCAAAAAGTGTCTGGCGTCTGTCTGTTGTGTATTGTCTGCAATTTATTTATTTTTTTTATATATTTTTTTTATATTTTTGACTTCTTCTCCAGAACAACTGAGCCAATTTTAACCAAACTTGCCACAAGGCATACTTGGGTGAAGGGGATTCATTTTTTTTTTCAAATGAAGGGCCACGTCCTCTTTCAAGGGGCAATAATGTAGAATAAGTGAAAAAATTAATGGCATCATTTTAAAAATCTTCTTCTCAAAAAGCACTGGGCAAGAAAAGATGAAACTTATGTGAAAGCTTCATTACATTGTGAAAATTCTGTTTAATTCAAATCATTACCCTCAGGACTAGACCGGGTCAGAATTGGTGATCAAAGTTTTACATAGGAATATACAGGAAGAAATTAAAAATATTCTAAGCAAAGCCATGATTTGTCATATTGATATGGAAGCTTCCTCAGGTAGAGTAGATTCAGTTTTGTCAAAATCATGACCCCTTGGGCTAAGGTGGGTCCACAACAGGTGATCAAAATTTTTACATAATAATGTATAAGAAAAAACTTTGAAAATCTTTTTCTCTGATGAGAACAGCAAAGCCATGATTAATCATATTGATATAGAAGCATCCTCAAGTATTGTAGATTCAAATTTGTTCATATCATAACCCCTGGGGTATGGGGGGCACATCAGATGATCAAAGGTTTACATAATATTGTAAAAGAAAAAGTTCTTTAAAAATCATCTTCTCAAGAAGATTAGAGCCATGATTAGTCATATTTATATGAAAGCATCCTCAGATAGTGTAGATTTAAGTTTGTTCAAATCATGACCCTCAGGGTTAGGGTCGGGCTACATTTTTTTATGAGCCTGGGTTTATTTTACATTGTGCATGTATACAGGAAAAAAATCTCCAACAAAACAGCAGGACTGTGTTGATTGTATTGATATTGAAGTATCCCAATGTTGTGCTGATTTAACTATGAATAAATCAAAACTCATTTAGTCCACAACATGGAGTCAAAAATCATATTATGAAATTAAAGAGGGAATTTTAAAAAAAAAATCTGCTTGGCTAAAGTGACTCAGGTGAGTGTTGCGGTTCATGGACCTCTTGTTTATATTCAGAGACTTTTGTCTCTTAGAAAATCATGATTTTGATTACCATACAAAGTTAGATATCTGATTAATATTTATACAGCTTTATGATATTTAAACGTGTACACTACATACACTAAAATAACTGACGGAGTAATTCTTCAAAAGAAAAAGGGCAGTATGTGTTGTACATGTCCAATTTAATGATTTTTAAAGAATGTACTGTTTTGTTTTAAATGCTAAATACATTGCTTTTATGTCAGTGTTCTTTTCGTGGACAGTACAATTACTAAGTATATTGTAATACAACTGATTGTTTATATTTTAATTACCAAAAAAAAGAAACAATTGCATAAACACTGGTGCCAACAGTGAATTTCACAGTGTGAAATTGTTATAGAGAGTGTACATCTGAGATGCTGACCTTTGTAAGTGTATGATTTGCACATTCGTTCATGTTGTAAAATGTATGTACAATATGTTGAGAAACTGATTTGTTATCCTTTTGTTGTGAACCTGACACTCATGTCTTTAAAACGTAAAAATCTTTAAAAAAAAAAAAAAAGAAGAAATTATCAAAACTCACTAAAATGTCTGAAGTTCAATGAAAATTATTCATTACACTTTGGCGAAGATTGAGTATCTTTATAAAATGCATATATCAGATATTAAATGAAGCCAAACTTGTACATTAACTTGTTTATGTGTTGAACACAGTGTACAATATATATGATAGTTTTGAGCATTGTAAACCAGCAACACATTACCTGTTTTATGCATATTATATATGGATTTCACTGTAATTGCCAGTTTGTTATATGCTTTGGATTATGCTGGATCCATGTGTGTAATTCATTGTGAATATACAGATGAACATAAATGCAGTGGAAAATATTACCAATAGTAACAAATGTGTTTGATGTCAGAACCTCTTTTCCATCAACATAAGCATATATACTTACTTATGGCTAATTCAAGATGTCAAAGTGTGATTATGGAAATTCAGGTTAAATATAAACAACTCTCCTTGAATGTGCAAAAGTAATATTTATTGAAACTTTTTTTCTCATTATATATGAGATTCACTTCCACTGTTTCTGACAGATTAAGTAAATCTGGCTTTTTCAGCTTTGCAGAGTCTTTTCATCTGTTATATAATTGCATCATCAATTTCTTTATTGATCATTATTATAAAAACTTTGCAGATTCATCAAATTAGGAACTCCTCTTTACACAGCACACGAGTTCTTGTTTCATGGTACTTTAAAGAAGTTAGCGTGAACTGCACTTCTGTTAAAAATTGAATAAACTGGTATCTACTGTGTAATACTGTGAAATCACTAATTTTCTTGGGGTCTTAATTTTCAATGATTTTGAGGTATGAAGAGACCCACAAATTCATGACCACCACAAAATGTAAAATGTCATATACATACCTCAACAATTCTTCAACCACAAAATCAAATCCCCACAAACCTGTAGGTTTTTTGCTCAAACCATGAAAAATTTGACCCCAAGAAAAATGTGATTCTAAAGTACATAGTATTTATAACAATTTAAGCACTTTTAATATTATATTGTTCAAATTGAAATAATTGAATGCTTTATTTGCATATATTTTCCCTATTTAAATAAGTAAGCAACAGTGATTTCTGTTTTGTTTTCCTTGAACATTTTTCCTGGGGGACAACAACAGGCACTCTAAGTTGAAAATGAAAGAAATCAACTTAATATTTTCACCTTCTATAGTTTATGTAATATAATTTTCTCAATGTCCACAATATATTTTTATTAGTGTATAGAGGGTCTTTAATTTTTGATGTCATCAGTGATAAACAGTTTTTTTTATAGTGTATTACAGTCGTCAAAATTAGGCTTTTCAAGTAACTGGCCCAAGCACTTTCAAGTGTAAATTTTTATTGAAGCGTATGAAAAAAAGTCACTACCCGGACTTTATTTTCATTGACCATGCAGTGTCCATCAACCACTGTTAAAGTGGATGACTGGTGTTGTGTTACTATCTTGTTTTTCGTAAATATTCATTTGCTTTTGACAACAATTTTTTTTTTGCAATACATGACTGTCATTTTGCTTTTGCAATCAAACTTCTTTTGAAGTGGATATTGATTTTGAAATTTGCTTTAACAGGAAGTGGCTGGAATTACCCATCCTGAAAGCTGTTGCAGAAGTATGGTGTACAAAACATATCTTTGGGCAATTTGTGGTTTTACACAAAGTATTACAGTTCAATAAATGGATATTATAAGTGTACTTTTTTTCATTTTAGAAGTACATATCCATGATCAATGCCTATCATGTTCAATTTCTAGGTTGTATTACACCATTGAATGTGTAAAATTGTACATGTAATTTCATAATTATTACATAATCTGTGGAGTCTGTGATGGTGTTGGTGATACGATCAATTAAAAATCTGTCAAGAATAAAAGAGACAATATAACAATATTAAGTATTGATTTTATATATAGTCGATTAGTAGAAAGTACTAAAAGGTGAGGATGAGAGAGAGAACACTTGTTTGGTATTTGGTTTTTAATCTATTTTGACACACAGTAGAGTTTGCCTGTGTGTTCCTCATGAAATATTAGATGTAACAGTTGTTTCAAGGTCTACTGGTTGTGATTTACTACCAGCAGAGACTTGTGTTTATTTTTATGCCTCCGTATTCAAAGATTCGGGGGCAAATAATTTTTGCCCTGTCTGTCCATCCGTCTGACAGTCTGTTTGTCTGCAAAAACTTTAACATTGCCCATAACTTTTGATTGGTTGGAGGTATGGCTTTCATATTTCACATGTGTATTCCTTGTGACAAGACCTTTCTTTTGGTATCATTATCATTATATTTGAACTTTTGACCTTGACCTTGGAGTTTGACCCAGTTTTGCAAAATTTTACCCAACTTTAACCTTGGCCATAACTTCTGAACAGTTGGTGCTAGGACTATCATACTTCACATGTGTATTACTTGTGACAAGACCTTCCTTTGGATACCAACAATTATAGCCAATTGACCTTGACCTTGGAGTTTGAGCTACTTTTGAAAAACTTTTAACTTGGCCATTACTTTTGAATAGTTGGTGCTATGACATTCATACTTCACATATGTAATCCTTGTGACAAGCCCTTACTTTGGATACCAACAACTTTGACCCTTTGACCTTGGAGTTCGACTTACTTTTGAAAAACTTTAACCTTGGCCATAATTTTTGAACGGTTGGTGCTAGGGCTTTCATATTTTACACGTGTATTTCTTGTGAGAAGGTCTTTCCATGGGCACAATTAATTTTGACATTGACCTTGATGTTTGACTTGCTTTTGAAAAAGTTTGACCTTTTCCATATCTATTCAATGGTTGCTGCTCGGGCTTTCATATTTCTTAGGTATATTCCTCGAGACAAGACTATACTTTGGGTACCAACATATTTGATTTGCATTCGAGAAAGTTTAATCTTCGCTATAAGTTGCCACGGGGACATCAGTGTTTCACAAAAACATCTTGTTTTGTTCTGTCACTCTTACAGGAGCAATAGCCTTTGAACATTTTAGATATTGTGACCACTGAATGCATAATGGAATTGTGTAGTGGAAATAGCAGTTGAAACTACATGTATTGGAAAAGTATTGTGCACTTTGAGTTGAGAGGTATCCAACAACTAATTTTTCGCTTATGTGGCGGTCAGACGGGTTCGATCGCCAATGACTCAGTTGGTAGAGTACCTGACTGGAGATTCAGGGGACCCAGGTTCGAATCCCAGTCTCCTCTCCTGTTACACTTAGATAATATAACCTTAGAAAATGTTTCAACAATAAGAAAAGGCTACAAAGGGTCAAACAGATCAGAAAGAATCTGACACATTGTTTGCTCCCAGATATCCAAACTGTGATATGATTTGATCAGCAATATACGTACTTATTACAGATGCATATTTCGAAACTTCACAGGTTGAGAAAGAGGTGTGCTATGCATATATTGTTGATACCAAACGAATCCAGTTACTCTTGCACAACTGAGAGAATGCGGATAAACTGAAAATGTTTGCCATAACTGCGAGAATTACATAACCATTGGAATGTCATTTTACAATGAATCCTAATGAGACGTCATTATTAACTGCTTGGTCTCTGTATCTCACCGCATTATTTTTTTAAAAAAATTCTATCGGTTATCAATGGTGGATGACCTTATAGAACTACATGATGTATGTGGGAATGTGTTAAAAAAAACTACACGACAAATAAATATGATTTTTCAAATCGCATAAAATCTCAGATTATACCACTGATATAGATATCCATGACTGCAAACACGTCAATGAGCAAACTTAGTGGGCCATTCATAATATGATATGTGAACAACAGTTTCACACAGACAATATAAAAATCTCAAAGGAATGTACCAAATAAAGAAAAGCTGCTTCTTAATTGTCTTCTCTCTAACACAAAATGAAAGAAAAATAATATCGTAATATTTTAGATAAAAACAACATTCAATGGTTCTAATTAAATATATGAATATATTATTGTAGACATGGAATCAAGTAATGTCATTTTGTTTATACATGTACTTTAAACGTACTTTTTTTCCGCGGGGTTATATAATTCTGCGGAATCATAATTTCTGTTCAATCCGCGATTAGAAAATTATGCTGATTTCTTGGATTGCCTTAGTTTTCTTATTTTTCTATTTCAATCACCAACCAATTACATAAAAAATAACTTTTGAAAATAAGTTATCTGTCATTATAAAGCCGAGAGCTGCTGCAGTTGTGCAGTGTTCTTGCAGCAGCTTTTGGCTTAACGTACCGCCATCGCTTAATTAATTAATATAACTATACTCATTTCTGAATTATGTATACCATTAACCAATTCCTTTTAAGCTCCTACTGTGTTGAAAATATAATAAAAATCGCATTTGATAATCTTAATATTGTTTAAAGACTAAGAGTTTATCTTGTCAAGTCTAGGATGAAAAAAGTGGTAAAGTATCCTGTCATATCTAGGATGGAATTGATGGTAAAGTATCCTGTCATGTCATGGAATTGATGGTAAAGTATCCTGTCATGTCATGGAATTGATGGTAAAGTATCCTGTCATGTCTAGGATGAAATTGATGGTAAAGTTTCCTGTAATGCCTAGGATGAAATTGATGGTAAAGTATCCTGTCATGTCTAGGATGGAATTGGTGGTAAAGTATCCTGTCATACATAGGATGAAATTGATGGTAAAAAGTATCCTGTCATGTCTAGGATGAAATTGATGGTAAATTATCCTGTCATGTCTAGGATGAAATTGATGGTAAAGTATACTGTCATGTCCAGGATGAAATTGATGATAAAGTATCCTGTCATGTCTAGGATGGAATTGGTGGTAAAGTATCCTGTCATGCCTTGGATGAAATTGATGGTAAAGTATCCTGTCATGTCTAGGATGAAATTGATGGTAAAGTATCCTGTCATGTCTAGGATGAAATTGATGCTAAAGTATTTTGTCATGTCATGGAATTGATCGTAAAGTATTTTGTCATGTCAAGGATGGAATTGATGGTTAAGTATCCTGTCATGCCTAGGATGGAATTGGTGGTAAAGTACTCTGTCATGTCATTGATGGTAAAGTATCCTGTAATGTCTTAGGATGGAATTGGTGGCAAGGTATTCTGTCATGTCTAGGATGAAATTGATGGTAAAGTATCCTGTCATGTCTAAGATGAAGTTGGTGGTAAAAGAATTTTGTCAAACGTAGGATACTGTTGGTGTTAAATTATCTTGTGACGTCCAAGATGTACTTGTTTGTAAAGTATCTTTTGAAGAGTAGTACAGAGTTGGCGTGAAACTCTAAGATGATGTTGGTATGATAAAGCAGTTTTTTAGGAAAGACTTAAGTAGGTGGTAAAGTATTATTATAAAATTGTGGATTATATTTACCACTGTAGTAAAGTCGTACAAATCATTGAAGACTAAATAAGACAATGTGTAATGTGCTGATATTCAATCATTAATTTTATTATTATTCGTTTCTTTTATTATTCTGCTGTTTGTAAATTTTTTCCTTAAATGGTAAATAAAGGAACCATATCTATTGTCCCTGTATGTTTAATTTTTGCCAGGATTGCGAAGCAAACTCATATATACTCGTATCAATCGGTGTGTTCTCCTCCGTTATTCCTTCTTTCTTTCCGCCTATTATTTTCTTTACCAGCTGGTTCGGTTATGGTGAAATATTCACATTATAATATTCCATGTTTCAATGTGGATAGATATCTAAATGTGTCGCTCCTTGATGACGGAAACGTTTAGCATTTCTCTTGCTTATACGTTCCATAGATATTGATTGATTTAGCCAGGCAAGCTATTTTAAAAGCTATTACTTGTTATAGAATCAAAAAAGGTAACACAATAATTTCCACGCATTGATTGGTAACATTTTTTCAATAATATATTTTATTTAAACTATTTTTCATAAAATAAGATTATATTTATTGCCATGATTATATCTGATGAAATATGATCGAGATTTAAGTTATTATCATATAAAAGATACAATTTTAAAAGTGCAAAAAAAAGTCAAGTTTATTCTACTGTTGCTCAGATAAATGCTCACTGACCTCAATTTCTTTCTGATTTTGAGTTGTGCCGTATGAGTAGATACAATGTATTTAAATTATACTTCTTAAAGAAAAAAAGACTTGATATAATTGGTGTCAGGAGTGCCATACCTTAAGGGTGAAGTTTGTCATCAGCTTTATTAGTATGATGATCATCATCATTAGCTTTATTAGTATGATGATCATCATCATTATCATAGGATCGGACAATAAATAACAAGGTTTTAGATCAACTACATGTATTTATTAATATTTGTACAAATATTCAGTATATTTAATGTAACTGTACAATATAATTATGATTTAGTCCCTTTCAACATAAGCGATGACTTGTTTTGTTTTCTTGTCCGAAAATACATAATCAACAAAAAGCTTTAAATTCTAATGTGATTTTTATGCCCCCGAATCGAAAGATCCCGGGGGTATATTGTTTTTGTCCTGTCTGTCTGTCTGTCTGTTGTCAACTTTAACCTTGCCCATAACTTTTGATTGGTTGGAGTTATAACTTTCATATTTCACATGTGTATTCCTTGTGACAAGACCTTTCTTTGGGTACCATCATATTTGACCTTTTGACCTTGGAGTTGACCTACTTTTGAAAAACTTTAACCTTGGCCATAACTTTTGAACAGTTGGTGCTTGGGGTTTCAAACTTCCCATATGTAATCCTTGTGACAAGACCTTCCTTTGGATACCAACCAATTTGACCCTTTGACCTTGACCTAGGAGTTTGATCTACTTTTGAAAAACTTTAACCTTGGCCATAACTTTTGAATGGTTGATGCTAGGGCTTTCATATTTCACACATGTAAATAAATCCTTGTGACATCACCTTCCTTTGGAT